TAAAGGTTTGATTATTTTTTAAATAGTAACTATTTCCCAAAAAAAAAAATCTATTTACTATTTCAATAAATTAATTTAACAATTTATGGTGTATTTGAAATAATCATTTATGGAAATTACGGTTCATTATTTATGGTATATAAAAAATCATTTGTAAGATACATTAATTACTCAAATCATGTGAATTTGGTTGATTTACCTAAATATGGAAGTTTGGGCTGCAATATCAATTATGTGATTTGGTAACAATCTTCCAACTAAATTGTGTAATTAATTAATTAATAAATATTTTATATTTTTTGTGTAATCTTTTTGTGAAATGCATTTTTAATATACCTTAATTACGCAAATTATGTAAATACAAATGATTTATTCAATCTGCAAATAATTACTTAGATTATGAAAATATCAAATAAAATAATCAATTATGCGATTTGCAAAAAAATATTCTAAAAAAAATTGTGTTAATGGTAGTTGTTATTTAAATATTATTTAATAATTGGTATTTATTTTTTTGTGTATTTATTTATTCAAATTGTAGATAATTAAGGAAATAATTAAAATATAAAATATACATTTTTAAGATTACTAACTACACAGTCGAGTAAATTTGGTTGATTTATTAAGTTATACTTTTTTTTTTATAAAATTATTCCAAATAATTGTATTGACGACAACTTCTATTTAATTATTTTTTAATAACTATTTTTTGGGTCCTTGACCGTACGAGTCGTGTACTAATTTTAAATATACGAATTTTTAATGTAATTTTGTCCAATTTATATTTCATATACAATTTCAACAAATTAATATAGGTAAGTTTTATTACATATTAATTCCATATTTTTAATTTATAAATATTATTTAATGAATATTTTTAATTTATAAATATTAAACAATATTTATTACTCGTGCATAGTACTAGTAATAAAAATAAATAACTAGCCGCCAAATAAGAAATAGTCCAATTCTCCTTTCCATTGGGCCACCAGCAGAATTGACCGGCCGCATTGTTGGGATTGGATATCAGCCGTTGGATCATAGCATGATCTCACACGTTATGCCTAATTAAGCAGATTTATTAGATTGTACAAAAAAAAAAAAAAAAAAACAGATTTATTAGATTCATTTTCTGCATCTTTTCACTCCCATTGATTTATTAAATTTCAAACACAAAGTATTATATATATATATGCATAAAATATTAAATTATAAGTTAGATACCGACATTATGTTTTAAAATTTGATCATTGATTAAAATAAATAGTAGATAATAATATCATTGCAGATGAATCACTATATTGATTGCATAAAATGTAATAAATAACGTATTTTGTAGTTCTAAAGGAGCATGACCAACTAATTAGCTGAAAATATTAAATTTAGTATAAAAATTTCTTATGTGGTTTTAAGAAATTTTACTATGACATTAAGATAAATTAATTTATTTGAATAACAATTGCTTAATCAAATAAAAAATATAATATTGATTTTAGAATAAATCATTTGAACACAAAGTTTTAACAATATAATTTTTTATATTTATGTAACTTTCATAAATCATTTAGTGTAAAATATAATTATTAATTTTAATAATAACTGTTATATGATATAATTAAAAAAATATAATTATTATTCAATTAATATAATAAGTAACAAATTTTTGTCCTAATTAACCAAAAAAAAAAAGTGCAAGAAATATTTTTTTATCATTAATGGGATACAGTAAATTAATGTAATAATAATTAATAATAATAGTAATATAGTGTAACGGTTTTTGTGTTAAAGAAAGTTACCAAATTCCCTCATACTTAATTACACATCAATACACCGTTATGTTTTTATTTTTTCTCTCTCCTCTCTATTATTTATTAAGACTAAAGTTTAATGATGTAAAATTAAATATGTTTTATTTATTAGGTAAAATTTATTGATTAGCTAGCAATTATATATATATATATATAGAGAGAAGGGATCATATGAGAATGGTAGATAGTGAAAGAAATAAGAATGATTATGAGTCATTGGATCAATTATATTAAAGGACATGATGAAGTCAAAATTAAATAACAAT